AAAACTTTGAATATTTAATTAGGTACTGAAACCTTGTAAATACTCATTTGTTTTCCCCTTCAATCGTAAGATGATTTGATCACAAAATTGAGAAAAAAGGTGATCAACAAAAATATTGGATAGTTTAGCGTTACCTACACCCTGACATTTCAAAATAACAAGGTTATGTAGGCCAAACAGCACAATATTTTTGTATGTCACCTTTTTTTTCGATTGTGGGATCAAATTATCTTACGATGCAAGTGGAAAGAAAATGCGTATTTAAGATTTTTTGGTACATAATGAAATAGACAAACTTTGCCGATCTCCAGATTGAAAAAGCCACAATTCCAAGAGTTTTCGTAAATAAAATAGTTGTAGGTTACGATCAGATGAAACTTTTAACTGAAGTTTCAGAAGGATGTCAATAATATGATAAAAAAGGATCTGGACCACGGACTATAATGAAAAAAAAAACTAACTACAAGCCTTGACCCAGAAGCTAACAATCATAAATTTTACTCTCTTCTCTCCATTTCAGGACAGGAAGTAGAATTTAACTTGATAAATTTGAGGTTAAAACAACCAAAAAGTAGAAAAAAATATTTTTTAATTAAAAAATATATAAGATAAAAAAGTTTTTCTCGATGTTTGTCGCTCTCATAGGTCTTAGAGTTTAAAAACTTGGTTACCTAGTTATCATTTTTATAATAAGTTATAACATTGTCTATTATTGTTTATTAATTATTGCTGCTCGCTCATCTCTCTCCTCTTCCCCGAATATAATAAATTCAAGATAGTGTAACGATTACTTGTTTATTTGTTAAGAAATTCATAGGAAGAAATATTTCCTACTGCAACATACACTACATGTTTGGTGAATTGCCGTGAAAGAGTCGAATTTTAAACCAGTCGTTTTATAATCAATAATTAATAGCATTTTTATGCAACAAATAAATACTTCCTAGTAAATTATGTCATCCCTATCTGACGTCATCTCTGTTAGTCATGATTACATTTATTAAAGATACAATATTCAACAAATTCAATTATGAATACTTCATTAGTAAGAGTCCTGAAAAAATAAAAATCCTATTCCTATTGTCTTCTCTCTCTTGCAAATTAAATTAATTAACCATCTTAAAATTACATATAATTACCTAATTATTTGTAGGTATATTTTTTCTAATTTAAGGATAAAAATGTGCATCTACTTGCAAATAAAATTTCATTTTAGTAACTGTATATGTGACACCAGCACAAGTTTCACATTATCGTCAAATAACTTATGACAAATCATTGCCGCATTTTATTTTAAGTCGGAATTAATGCTTCTGGTCTATCAGTACTTATAAAAACTGTACTCCCAAATATTTTTCTAAATAAACTTAATTACCAACCCCATGATGATTTGTGAATTAAGTTCTCCAACTTAATAAGTAATGATATTATTTTTTCTCTTTTTAGATTTATTGCTTCTTTACCAACATTATTTATGTAATTTTTTCATTTCAGAATAATTATAGTTATGACGATTAAGCCACTATAATCAATTGTTTAATTTTTTTTTTAATTTAAAAAGTAGTAACTGTGACGAATAATAAAGTTAGGCGTTATAGCGTTTGAAGACTAATTTTATTTTATTGATGAGGCAGGTTTTGATCTTCATCTTCGACGGAACTATGCAAGTTCACGTGTAAATACGCGTGCAATAGTAAAAGTTCCTTAAGTTAAAGAGAGAAACATAAAATTTTTATTGGCCCTCTGTGACGAAAAAATGGCACATTTTAAGGTAATCTGTAACGCAAATAGTAATGCTGTTTGGTTCAATGATTTTTTGTCAGAACGCCACGAAAAAATTACTGGAACTCAATAAAGGGTTTTAAGTGTGTCTATAATACTTCCATAGATGGACAACCTATGGTTTAAAGGTACAACGACCGGTTAGGATCTTAGTTTCCTCCAACAGTTTTCGTCAATTGTCTTGATGTTGTGTTTTTTTTTTTAACAAGAAATCATAATTAGCCATGAATCGTATTAGTAAAATACAAATTCGACATTGAGAATGTAATAGGAATCTTTTAAGATTAAATATTAAAAAATATGGTCCGTGGTACAGAAATATTTCAAACAAAAATATATGAATAAATTACACATATTTTTAATATATTCTGTACATTTAAAATAAATTAGATCAGTATCTGAGTTACAACACAATATCCGGTATTCCATGAAATGAAATGAATTGAAAAATAATTTTTTTCTGGGACTGAAGTCCCCTTAGAATAATAGTAGAGTTTAAAAAAAATTAACATTAGCAGCATGTAGATATCATACAAAAAATACTTAGAAAATTGTAAATATATATATATATGTATATATATATATAAAGATACTAAGGAAAAACACAGATGGATACAATAAATACTGAGATATAAAAAAAATGAATAAATAAAAATAAAATGACTTCTTTCGATTAACTACTGGTAACCAACGTAATTATATAACCCAGACATTTTTACAAGCTTGAGGAAGTTTGAATTTGTAGTAAGTGGTGGAATAGTTGTTTGAAGAAGTTTATGGACGTGGTTTGACGTATGGAGATGGGTAAGGAGTTCCACAAGGAGATAGCACGAATTACGAAGGATTTACTGAAGGAAGTGGTTTTATGGGAGAGAATATATAAATCTATAGGTTGAGATCTGATGGTGAGAGAGTGGATAGAGGAGCGTAAAGTAAGGAGTTCTAAGATGTAGTGAGGGTCTTTGGTTCTGAGGACTTGAAAAATAAAAACACCAAGAAGGAATTTCGTCGGGAAGTAGAATATAGCTACTTCTACTCGCTGTACCAACTAGAAATATGAGAATGCTTGGGAATCCCAAAAATGAATCTTATGTAGCAATTCCAGTTATACTTTTGGAAATATCTGTCCATACTTTTGGGAAGTGTGTTAAGCGCTGTTGTTTCAATCGTCAATTTATTATTTTATCAGAAAGGGTTTGGAACTCATTACTTTAATGGTGGGCAACTATAGGAAAGAATACAATAAAATATGATTACCTCGTGGTTTCCCAAGCATTAGGCATTTGGCCAAACACATATTTTAATAGACTAAAAACTCACGCTATCAAAGAAAATTTCAAAACACTTTTGAATATCTATTTGATCAAAGAGAAAGGATTTTCCAAGACACATAGTTACATTTTGTCTTGTGCTTGTAGCTATTGTTTTTTAAAAATGATTATGGTAATGTATCATGACAATATTCATAGTTGTTGGGATATAGTCGATCACTATATTACGGATATTACTCTGATTATATATTTTTTTTCAATTTCGTTTCGATTGCTGCTAGTAGAATCTTTACTAGTGTTGTTTAAAGTCTATTTACATTTTATTGTAAATTTTTTTACGTTTAATGTCTCAACAACTCGATTGAAAATTTTCCGTCAAGTCGGCATCCTCCCCCCTCTCTCTTTTCGAATTTTTGAACTGTAAAAAATGTGAGAAACTTCAAAATTTTAAATTTCGTGCAAACATTTTTTTTTAAATCTATTTAGTCCCTTATTAAAACATTAAAAAAAATCATATCTTCTTGGTAATGTAATACAAGGTTGGTTGTTGGAGCAACTAAGGAAAAAAATTAATGCAAAAAAAAATGATCTATTTTATTAAATTTAAAATTTAAATGAGATTCAATTTATGTTAATATTGCTTCAACAAAATTAAAGAAAATTAACAAAAATGTTTTTTTATTTCGAGGATTTGTAACGTCTGGCTTCTCTAGTGAATTTTGGTTGTAATTAACTCCAGTTTAACGACATATTTTCAAGCTAATTCCAACAAATTTTAATATCCTATAGTCGTTACAAATTTCTTCTACCAAATAAAATAATTTATTTTGCCAAAAAATAGTACATGTAAGTCTAAACCCCCTTTACATTATATTATATTATGATGAAGTTCACTCCAGGTTCAGCCAACTCTCCAAAAACCTGAAGCTTAAATTTATTCAAATTTATTGAACGTTTTTATTTTTGTTGCTAAAATATAACCTGTACCACTTTAACCCATGAAGGGGGGGAGTTCTGATACAAGACTAATTGAGCCGGGATCACGCTCATCCGTAAAGTTTTCCCTCCTAATTAATCATTTAATTGAGAATGTCGACTTTATAAATGCTAGGATCGATCCACAGCTGATGGAACAGAATTATCATTATAAAATTATCTACCATCTGCCGAATTCGAACCCAGAAACTTGAGCAAAGAAATCAGTGCCTTACCCACTGAGGTACCCCGCTTCCTTGCTACAATATAATTTTTTTTTTTCTCAGTTCCTGATATTTTCTTTTGAAAATAATATACATCTAAAAAGTTCCTCTTTTTTTTAGATTTTTTATTTATGCAGGTATACTATCCTTTTCATTATTGGTGTTCATAAATTTATAATGATTTTTCCTTGTTCATTATCATAATCTTAATCGTTTGCGACAACAGCCAAAAGGGTTCAAAGTATATATATTTAAAAAGTCATATTTTTGTAGAAAAATATAAAAAATAAAGTAAAAATGAATATAAGTTAGTAAGACGGCAGAGATCCTCATTAGCTCTTGTTGTTAATTGCAGGTATTAATCTCATCCTCATCTTCAACAGTAATCAAGGGCCCGGATGAGACGGCCTTTTGAAAACGGTAAATTGTTTTGATGAGACCTGCTCAAGTTGTGAATTACAGCTTCAAGAAAGGACTGAGGTAATTCCGCTGGCTTCGCCTTCAATAACCGTCCCTTGAAGGCAGATCGTCAACTTTGGTAAATGTTATCTACGGTTTGAAGTTGCTATTTGTATCCCGCGTCGGAGGTGGGGGCTGGAAGGGGGTTGAGAACCAAAGCTCAATTCTGCTTTAGACAAGCAGGGGGGGGAAGGGTGAGGTGGGCGTGGCCAAAAGTAGGCGTGGTCGTTTCCCCCCACCTCCAAGCACGGCCGTCTGGCCGGCAGAAAGAGGGATGTGCTCGAAGGAGATGTACCCGCTGACGACCGTGGACCAGTACAGGCTACAGCTGTATCAGTACGCGGTGGTGGCCCAGCGGCTGTATCCAGGTCCGTACCCATCGCCGTACCCACCGGGCCGACTCCCCCTAGGTCTGAGGCCGGAGGAACCCAAGCCGCAGCACAGCTACATCGGCCTAATCGCCATGGCGATCCTTAGCTCGCCAGAGTACAAGCTAGTCTTGTCCGACATCTACCAGTACATATTGGATCACTACCCTTATTTCAGGTAAATTATTGGCAATTAAATAAGTTTTATAGTATTTAAGAACAATAATGTCTTGTTAGACAAAATAACCAAGGTGTCAAAACACATGTTTACAAATATTGCATGATGAGTAAAATGCATGTCACCTCTTCTCCAGGAAAAATCTTTAAACCTTCATTAGTTTTGAGCAGAGTGATCGCTTGACCATTCGCCCGCTTGACGTCACGTGTCCCACGGGCATAATCGTGCCCGCTTAACCTAAACTACAACAGCGATCACCATGGCAGCCAATAACTGCATTTGGCAATTTATTTTTAAATATAAAATATCTAATAAGTGTTTCCTTAGAAGAATAGATGGGTTTCTTTTAAAATAGTCACTATTATCATAGCTTTTAAACAGCATTTCTCAGTCAATCTTCATAATTATTTTCCCCCCCCCTTTTTATTTTTCAAGAAGGAAAACTAAATTCGGAAGTTGGTAATTTTGTATTCAAGGCATCCAATTACTTGTTAGTTACTCATATGCACATTTCTCATTTTATTGTTTCAGATTCTAATATTATAATAATATTAATAATATAGAGTAAAAATATTCTGGCCAACAAAATGTAGTTCATGTACATCTTTAGCTTTTATATTTCTGATAAAGAAATTTTATATTATGTATACCTTTTTAATGTATTATGAAATAATTATTTCTTTTAAATGAAGATATAAACAATATTTTTTTATACGTTGAAATTATTCTTTTTATTATTGTTATATTGTTAAACAATGAAATATCTAGAAAATATAATAACAAATTGGCCGCTTGACTATCTATAAAGAATCTGGTAGAAAAAGGTTGTGACTCCTTAGATTAACTCATTTATTTAAGTATGGTATATATAATATTGGCGTTTAATTATTTGTGTTTAAATATACTGTATATTATTTTACAATATATAATAATAACTTTCCAGGCTGAATACAAAATTTTGGGGCAATATTATAAAAACTTTAATGATTGTTACATCAGTATTCAAACCTTAAGAAACTTTCCTGCAGTAGATATTTGTACCATATACGGCTAGATTAATTAATATTATAATTAATCTAATAAGAGTAATTAATTTTTAATTAAAACATCAATTAAATAGAATATTAAACATAGGATCATCTTTGTCATCCTTCACCAATAGCTGTTTATTTCCAACAACAAACATCTTCAATCCTCAAAACGTCTATTAAGTACAATTTTTTTTTTCTAAATTCAAATTTGACAAGAATGATATTATTTTCTATATAAATACCTATGTTTACCATATTTTGTATTACTTATTGATGTTAATGGATTTATTGGTTGTGCTTTCACATTAATACATGTTAAACCAGTTGAGCATCAAATCGATAAAGTCTATGATTATTAATAAATGACAAATTTAGGAAAGGTGAATTTACATATTTTAATATAATAACAGAGATTCAGTGTTGTTTTGTTTTTTTTAGTATGACTTAAGTTTGAATTTATAAGTGCAGGCTTCTTTTGTACAGCTTTTATACATTAAACTTAAGGGATAACTTCTTAAAAAATTCTTATGTGCTTGAAATAAAAACGGTCAGTTTGTTTTCTAATCGATTTGAATATAGCTTACAATAGTTTAACATTAATTCATTTTTTCATTTAAGGTAACGGCCTAAACATTTTTTATTATTACTGTTAACATGAATAAGTAAATGAAATAAATAAAAAAAAGTGGTATCGGTCTCTTTTTGAACGTTTTTGAGCCGTTCATAGTTTTTTTTTTTTTATAAAACTAATAAAAACCATGGAATTAAGTTGTTAGCTTACTTTGTAGGCATTATTGTATTATAATAAATTTACTGTTTATAAGAAAATCATGGAAGCAGCACGTTCTCTAAACACTTTAGAGATGTTTGTAAAAATATCAAAACAAATATCTGAATTATTATTAATTAATTATGTAGTTTTGAATAATTTTCCAAGTGGCCAGGCGCACTAAAAGAGAACAACATTCATAGCGAAAACGAAATACCATGGTTATCAAATTGACAATAATTATTAAACTGCTAAGAAATGTTTGAGCGGAATGGAACGCACTTGTAAATGCCCTATAAGCTCCATTAGGAGTTAACAAGCTAGGTACATATAATGGTTTATCAATTGACATTCAATATAACAACTAAAAGTTTAGGATATAATAATAATAATAATAATATTATTATTATTCCATTGTTATTATGTTAAGAATAGTATGCATATCAATAACATCTAATAAAAAAATATTATGCATATATATGTGTATATATATATATTTTTTTTATGCCAGCTCATATAACTTGTATTATTTTAACAGGCATATTAAATTAAAAGGAATAGTTCAGATGAAATCAATTTCGAGCTTAAAATTAATTTATAGAGATAAATAGTTCAGTAAATAATAAATAAGTCGACCAAAAAGTAAAGAAATCGTAAAAATAAGAGTTATGACATCTTATGAATAAAAATTAAAAAAAAATAATGTTATAAACAAATTATTACAACCTTAGAGTAAATTTAATTTAAAATGAATAATTAAATAAAAGTGATTTACAAAGTTGAAAAATAATCGGTATATATTTTACAATTTTACAAAAAATTTAAAACCATTAATCTCCAAAATTGAATCAAAACTTTGTTTCATGTATTTTGTTATATATCGCTAATTATATATGATAATAAATCTTTGATTGATAGCTGTAATTTATAAAAATGATTAATATTATTAATAAATTAGAAAATGGTAAATGTAAGTAGCAAATGAAACTTTTTCCTGGCAAACTTTCTTAAGAAATTATTCTCGTTATCAGAGCTTTCTAATGGGAAAGTTCATAGTTTAGAAATGAAAACGAATATTGATATGGTTTTCAATGCTGTGAGAAAGTACCTTCATAATTTTAAGTGTTTTTTTTTTTTCAATATTTTCAATTCATATAAATATATATATATATATATATATATATATATATATATATATAACATGTAAATGATATTTATAACACCATATAAATCATAATAATCACCAAATAACAAAATAAAACATTAATTTTAATAGTTAATATTTAAAAATTAACTAAACGGCACGTGCAGATGCTCCTTAATAAAATTATGTCCGATGGAAAGAAATTTTAAAATGATACAATCAATATATTTTCTAATTCAGGAAAAACATATACACTTTAAGTAAAGTATTTGTTACCTATATTATAGAAATGACAGATGTTCAACAGAATCAAAAGCATTTTTAAAAAAGAATACTACATTAAGATAATAACACTTGAAGGGAATGTATTTAATATTATTTATGTATTAACTATGGTACAAAAAAATCTATTCTACTTTAATTAAACATCTTTAGTTATTTAAACTAAAAGAAATGAAAACATAATTAAGATCAAACTGTTTTTCACTATTGAAACTACAATTAATGTTACTTCGGTAGATTTCGATTCGTTCCCAAGTTATGTGTGGCGTTACTACTTATGAGTTTATTTATCCGAATTCAAATAAATATAATTTATTTATGCTAGATATTTTACAAAACACTGTGTTCAAATATAAATAAATATTGGTGTAACAATTGTGGCAATGTAGTCTAACCTTTACTTTAAAACCTTTTTTTTAATATATTTTTTTTTAATTTATACCAACTGACAAAAAGGATTCTTATCGTTTATGCTTGAACAAATTTAATTCTAAAAAAATATAAGAGTCATTGTAATTTAAAAAAAAAAATTATAAAAGGACTCTTGTTAGCGTTAAAGAAATCAAATTTTGTGTAGTGTATAAATAATACTTATTACAAGTTCATGTGATTTAATCAATAAGGAAATGATTTATATGAATTTTTATTATAATATAATTAGATATGAAATGAATTTATTGCTGATCTTTTATTATATACATTTGAAATTATTCATTTTTTAATTGATTATATAATGTTTTATATTTGTCTATTTAAAAAAATAATAAAATCAGCAGCTTCTTATTGAACTAAATTATTTTACACTGAAATTTAGCTTTTAAATATAATATTTTATTTTATTATATTTTATAAAAAAATTATTATTTGTATTTGAATTTTCGGGTCTAAAATTTAACTTCATAGATATTAACAAGCTGGATTGAAATATTACATACATCAGAATAAAAATGTCAAATGTACCATTATTTGTATTGACAAATTAACTAAATGAAACAAACTGGCTAATTTGAATCAGAATGATTCAATAATGAAGCAGGCTGATGATATTGAAATCACTTGATTAAAATCATAATATTCAAAATCACACAAATCATTATTTCTGTACCACGGAGATAAACAACACTGTCCATTTTTGTATTTGTTCAGGGAAGACGATGTTCTATAACTTTGAGCTATTAAAATTTGTTTCATTGTTACTGATTGTTTTAATGAAAAATTGGTCATGATGTATTTTGCCTACGGGGGGGAGGGGAGAGGGAGAGATTTAAAAAAAAATAAAAATTAAACAAACCGAGGAAGTAAATAAGCGGTCTGTACGCAAATAGAAGATGGCAGTCCGTGTTTGAAATACTGAGTAGAAAAAAAAATTCTCTCTGATGTTAAAACGAGTTGAACAAATGGAATATTTTACAACAATAGCACACTTGATTCCATCATCCAAAAGATATTTCGAAATTTTTTTTCATTATATTTTCCATTATAAAATATAAAAGACCAGCCCGAGAATGTCTAACCATGTTTTTGTCTTGCTATTTCGGCATTTTATATGAAGTCGTGATTTCATGAATAAAATAGTATGTTTCTTTTAAAAGTTTATTATTTTGTATTAATTATTTAAGGTCATAATAAATGACATTTAAATCAAAGATTTTATTTATTTATTTATTTTTTTTATTATTGAAGGTTACAACTGTATTAAATGATAAATACAATGAGTAAATATGAAATAAATAACATGACAGGTACAACATGAAGAGAAACTACCCATTGGTAG